GTAAATCCTGATCTAAGTCTTCCAGATCGTCACATTCATCCTCTTGGTTTACAGTCTCTTTATCTAAGGATATAATTTCAGCTTCTTTGAACCCTGCTATTATTGACGATGTTTCTACCGATTTCCACGCACTTCCTGCCCACTTTGCAATTTCTTCATAAGATGCTCTACGCATTTTAATGCTTTTGGTTTACGTATGCAATCCTTCACTCATCCAACACTCCCACCGCTTTCAGACTTCAGCTTTGAAGGATTTATTACCTGACAAATCTAACGGTTGTAAGATTTTTGTCAAACCACCAGAAATTATTGCTTCGGTTGTAGACAATTTTTGACATCTGGTTTTCACTGACTCAAAGAAATAAGCATGCATGGAATCCATTATCAATAACCCCTTTGGTTGGAAAAAAGATCCCATACGACACTGCCAAACTTTTTGTAGCCACTCATGCATGATTGTTTCGCACATCTAGCCGTTCTCGTTTGCACAAATAATTACGTCATTAGGAAAATCTCCCTTCGGAATAGTCTTTCGTTTAAAAATGATCATCGGCTTTACCTTGTCACCGTTTGCGGCACAAGCTAACACACATGTAAATGACGTTCTTTCATGCCCCGTCATAAACACAGATACAGTTTTTGCACCAGTTTCATCACCAGTTCTGTTTGCAGGAGAATCGAAAGCTAACGGCGTTTCATCCATATTTATTATCTGCGACCGAAGTTTTTTTTTGTCAATAATAGTTGTCACATATTTTAGAAAAGATGACTTTTTATCCTGCCAGTCCATTGGGTAATTGTTGCCCGACTGTTGTTCTAGTACGCACAGAAATATTTTTTCTTTTCATAAATCTGCTACCACTAGGCACTCCTTTGAAATCATTTATGTTCATTCGTTTTGCTATAAATTTTGCTTGTAAGTGAATTTTTACAGTCGAAATTGTCCATTCCCTTTCCTCGTTGCTCCTTTATCCAGTTTGCAAGGTTGTCCTCTAGATTTGGCCACCTTACAGTACCACTTCTTTTGGCTCGTTTCTGTTGTGGCATATTTTTAAGAACTTCTTTTTCAGTTCTCCAACATTGAATACACCTGTCGTCCACTTCAAACTCTTGAGCTGCTGCTCGATTTCCAATTTGTTCAGCACGTGAAATTACATTAAGCTTAAAACCAGCAGTATAGCTTCTGTGCCATTTAGGGATGTTTTCAAAAATTTTCCGCTCCCTTCTTACTTAAAAACTATCCAACAAGTACTTGTACCCAAACTGATGAGATCTGTATCTGGCAGAATGGCAAGAAAAATCCATTCATGCTGAAGGGGAAATACGTCAGAGTTCGTTATTGCGAGGCAGGTGGAGTCGCGTCCACCTTCGAAAAAAATTCCAGAAAAGGCAGGGGTGGGGAGAGGATGGGTCCTGGAAGATTCATGGAATGGCAGAGGAGAGAGACTATTCAAACTGATGAGAATGTTGATTTGAAAGGGGGAAGAATGTAATTGTTCTGAGATCTCGTTTAGGGTGAATAAGGCATGTAGGTCCGTTCAAGGGAAAGAATGTAAACAAAATAATGTTCTCAAAAGCAACTGAGTGGTCTTTTGTGTGGGAACAGCACCAGTCTATGCACAATGACAAGGTCATCCAAACTATGTACAATGAACATCATAGGAAATATTTTATTTTTAGTGCACCTAAACGCCGCACCAACTGAAAATTTAAGTTTTAAACACGTAAACGCCGCGGCGTTTCTTTCGGAAATTACGGTAGTAAATTTTTGTTCCTAAAACTCATTTAATTGTAACTTATCTAAGAATTTTTTAGCAAATGATAAATATGAAGTTGTATAATTGATATGCACTTATTGGAATTTTTTTATCAGGATAATCAGCAGAAACTTTTAAAACATCTAAATAGATCAAATGCCCTGAATTTTTACAATTGTAAGGAATAAGGTGTTTAGTGTTTAGGTAAGATTTACAATTTTCAGAATAATTTCAGATCTTTATTTGAAATGACACCATGTATTATAGTGAGAAAAAGGGGAGTAAATATTTATTTAGGCAACTTCATGCTACTTACTTTTTATTACAGTAAATCCCTTTGAGAAAAAATAACTTAGTACAAATTTATGAGGCCTTACAGCTGGGAAGAAATGAAAGTACATTTTATTCTAGTTTATTTTTTATAGAGTTATCAGATACATTTTTCCCTGTATATGTACAACTATATTTCTAGAAATTTTATTTCTTTGACAGAATTAAACATAAAATAAAATGAAAATAATATATTAGTAAATATCTATAAAAATTAGTCATCTGGAATTGTATTTGACTACAAATTGTACATACTTCCTTCTTACAGTTTAATATTAATGTAACAAACACTTCTGTTTCAATTAAAATAAGATTAGAAAATTTCAAGATATTGATTTTAAAATATAAACGAAAGTAATATTAATTGGTAAAGTATTTTATCTTCAAAAATGAATATTTCTTTAATTTATGATGGAAAAGCTTAGTATATTATATAACAGACCTTAGAGCTTTAGCACTTTTCGATGATGATTGCAAATATTTCCCTTTTTTGAGTGTGTATGCGTGCATGCATTTTGGAATAGGTGGCAAAGATTTCACAACACAAATAGAAAAAGCACTTTTTTATTCAACATATTATACACATTCTGCAGAAATATTCATTTAAAAAAATGAATTACAAGTTTGAAAACATTAAGAAAAAATAGATTAGTTTCACTCTCTTATTTTGTACCTTAAACACATAACATATTTCATTTCTGCTACATACATAAAGTATTTTTTTAATGTTTTCGATTTCCGTTGCTTAGTTAAATTATTGCTTAAAAGATTATCATTTAACTTTTTGCAGTAATTACCGTATTTGACGGCATATAAGACGCACCCTTATTTAGAAGGCTACACACATGTAGATGTAGAAAAAGTTATGTGTGTCTAGACCTTTATCCGGGCTAAAAATAGCATTCAGTATTGAAAGTTAACCTGCGTATAAGACGCAGGTAACTTTTTTGAGACCAAATTTAGGAAAAATAGTGCGTCTTATATGCCGTCAAATATGGTATTTAGAAAAATATTTGTTGATGATTGTATATTTTTCAAAATAATCTGAGGGTTATGAAGTTTTGCACAGTCATTCAGTTCCAAAAAAAAAAAAATTTTTTTTCATGAAGTAAATTTAAAGTAATTTTACACACTGTTGACAAAGTGGAGAGATGACTTTCGTGACGTCAGAGCGTTCAAGCAACCCTAGAGCCTTGGCTTTGTATGTAGGAGGTACTGGTTCAGGACAGCAGGCGAATAAGCCACCTTTGTGAAGGTGTCTGGACACAGTAAACCACGACATTTGTTGCCCCGTTGCTGTACACAGTTGTTGAATTATGGAGTGTGGTGACTGGTTTCGGGCTCTTTTCGCCTGCAAGACAATATATCGGTCATCCACTGCAGTTGTTTTCCTTGGGCGGCCACCACCAACCTTTCTAACAGCTGTACCTATGGTTTATAAGGCTTTCCAAGCACGCGAAACGACACTTTTTTTTATTCTGAACTCTTCTGCTATACTGGTAACACTTCGCCCCTACTCCAGATTTCGATCATGCTTCCATGTGTGAAGTCATCCAGATCATTTATTCTAGCTATATTTCAAGAAAGAACTCCTTGTACTTGCAGCGAATGTCTTTAACCCTTTAACTGTCAAGTTATTTTGATGATTTGGGTACACAAATTGTCAAATTTTTTAATTGGAAAAATCAAATGTTTAGTACAAAATAAAATATACTTAAGTAGTTAAAAATTGATATTTTGAAGTACATGGGTAAAATTTTTAAAGTTTTGTTCGAAAATGTCACGTCCGAGTTCGAACACCAGTGCTGTGCCCAAGATAATCTCGGGCATGACAGTTAAAAGGTTAATTGCGTCTCCATCCTTCCTTTTATGGTAGTCTCGAGTTAAGCGCGCCGACCATATGCGTTTTGTGTACGCTCACGTACCCTGTGACGTTTTTTTCTTGACATTTGCATACACATGACCTTTCTACTGAATTGCGTGTTCATTGTACTGAATGCAAGAACCCCTTTTCTACAATTTAATGGCTATCCGATTAATATTTACATTGTTGCTTAAGTTTTGCACACCAGTGTACAATGTCAGATTTTGGTAATTTCAAAGGAAACTGGAAGACAATATCAGAGCAAATAAGTTAATATACGTTCTACTGTAAAAAATAATACAATCAAATAACTCAAATAAAAATATTTTTTCCAGTTACTTTAATATTACATGTATTTCACTACACATTCTGAAAAGCAGACTCTTAAAACATGACATTCCAAAAGATGCAAAACTGTGTCCTTGAAAAACAGAGCTTAGCATGCAGATCAGATGATGCACAGTTCAGATGAAAGAATTAAAGAATCTGTAAATGTGATGATTTTTTTAAAGCATTTTCATATTTCTTCTCTTTTGGAATTCACTAATCATAAAAATTCTATTTTATTTTTGCTGATGTAGGGGGGGGGTTAAAGATTCATTCTATGAATAGCATCATAAAAGTTCTATTTCTGTACCTAAATTCATAAAACTTATTATGAAAAGGAAGAAAGGAAACATTTAATCTCATAAGTTAATGGCTAAACAATTCTGTGAAAGTGAATGTGTATGCAGAAAACTATTACATTAAATTTACACTAATTTTCTTCAAATGAATATAAATAACTTTTACAAAAAATATAACCTACATTTTTAATGGTAATATGTAGATGTATTCTATGTAATTCACACTTACACAAAATACAGAATTTTACATTTCACTATAAATGAATATTCCACTTACAAATGAAATGTAGCATTAAACTTATGAATGAAATTTTGGAATTACATAATCAACTGACTAATGCACATTTACATATTACTGCTAATTAGTAACGTAATTACATTTAAATGACCTTCCCAATAATGGAATTAATTAAAAGGACTTACCAATATACAACGATCCACCATTGCTTGTGTTGCACCTTCAAACTTCATTTTTATGGATGACATATTCAAGTAGTCATCACAACCACCAACCACTACAAGACCAGTTTCTGCTCGCATGCGTGATCGAAAATCTTCAACATCATCGATGGAACACATGGTTGCATTCTGACCCACTACAAATAAAGTTGGTACTTTGCTATCCAATAATGGGTCATCTAAATCCTATATTTAATCAAAAATTAGAAATAAAAATTAGTAATTATCATATAATACATTAAAAAAGTATGAAATTTAAAGGTAGCTTTTTTAGATTATTACAAACTTTAGAAGAATATATCTTTAACATCAATAATTAAAAGAGCTTTCATTTACTTAACACATAAAACAAAAGAAAAGTGCATGATTATGTAACTGCTGATGCTTAATACAAATTTCACAAAAAGCAAATAATAAATAATTTATTACAGCACAGCATGTAACACTCCTCTGTTTACAGAACATATAAATTTACTCGAAAGAAGACACTTTTATTTAGGTAAAAATTAGAGGGGGGAATACAATGAAAATGCACAGCTAGCTTCTGTATTACCTTATCATAAATCAAGCTGCCTGATTCAACTTCTTTAGCAAAATATTTCTAAACTTAATAAAGATCAAATGATAACTAAAGAAATGCATTTATTTAGTGAAGGGTTATCATTTTATGTGTTTTGTGGTTTATTACTGTTAAATACAGAGGCTTTAAAATTTTGTGCATAATTATTGTGTGTGAGAAGCACACTGCAGTTCAACACTACTCTAAAAACATACTTAGAACAAGTGGCAGTTAAAGATGTATTCTATGTTAAGACAGACAAATTTAAAACTGTTAATTTTAATTGTTATCCTCTATAGTGTATATTGTAGTGTTCGTCTCTACGTGTAGCCTCTTTATTGAGTTACTCTTTTTTATTTTATTTTATTTATTTATTTTTTTTAATGTTGGTTCAACATTGAAGGAGATACTGTCACCCCAGGAAGGAAAAGTAGTCTGAATTTTGATATTTCTATTGAAATAAAAACCATTAAAAAATATTATGTTAATTTTTCAACATGGTATCCCTGCCGGGATGGTGATCTGTATTTTACGTAATATGATATAATTTCTTCGAAATATTTTTGAATATCATATTTAATATTGAATTTGAATTAAGCATATAAATGTAACATAAATTAAGTAAAATTGCCACTGAAACATTAACACTGTGTATGCGAAAACGTTCAACATTAAAGGAGTCAGTTACTAAACTTTGTTCAAAGATTGAAGCTTAAATTGCAAAAACAGAAGTAACTGCCGCTGATCAACTTTACTTAGAACAATTAAATGACAAATTTGAAAGTTTTAAATTCGTAGATACCCAAGAAGAAAGGTTAGTAGATCCCAAAGATCTTGATAAAGAACTTGAATCCATCAAAGAATACAGAGAAAAAAATCGTTATATGGTGATTCAGAGCAAACAGATATTAACAATGCCTGAATAAAAAAAAAAAAATAAGTCATTCGACTCTCCTCATTTATCACTTAATTTGGATGTAAATTTTCAGCAAATGCTTAATGTGAAATTACTTAAAATAACAATTCCAAAATTTTATGGAAAGTTAAGTGATTGGCTTACATTCTGAAACTCATTTGAAACATCGACATATAATTACAAATCACTTGACGATTCAGTTACTTAAAAGCCCATTCAGCTGGAACTGCTTTGGAAACTGTAGAAGGTGTTTCTATTTCAAGTGACAATTAAGAAAAAGCTGTTTATTTGCTTGAACAAATATTCAGAAGAAAAGCAGTTTGGATAAACACCCACATGAACCAATTACTAGAAATGCCCACACTGAAATGTTCTAATGACGTATTGAATTTTTGGAAATTAGTTTATAAGATTCAGATTAATATTAAAAGCTTAGAGTCATTAGGTTGTAAGGATTATATTTATTTAGCTAACAGTTAAGTTTTGAGTTAAACTTCCTGTCCTATAGCTTCTTAATTTCAACTTACCACTTCCAGCCAGAACATAGTTTTAGAATTACGTTTGAATGCAAGTTGAGGAACAGCGGTATTTAACCATGAAGTTCTACTGTCTTAATCAGAGAGAACCAGAGATTCTGGCTAGCACGTGTCAGCCTTTTTAGGCTATTCTCTCTTAAGCTATTATTACGCTTGGCTGTACTCTAGGCCCTTAATAGTTTCGCAGTCAATTAGCGTTAAGGGGCCAACCCCGTTAGACTTTTGATAGCTTTGGCTATATCTTTTTAGTTCCCAAGTTCAAGCCCAAGTGTCGGCTTTAATGTAAAACTCCAAGATGGAGTTCTGTTAAATCTTATTTGAATAATAAAGGGTCTTTTAACCCTTTTTAAGTTTAATTACTGTCTCACGAACTCAAGTGATTATTCACTTACTAGTTTTTAAGATTCTTCACATTCAACTGTAACTTAAGGTAAACAGTAGAGAAACTTACAAGGTATATCGTCAACAAACTTTAGCACATCATTCATTAAAAATTTTTTAATTAATTTTATTCCTTTGTTTTCTGTGCACTTCAAGTTTGCTCCTCGAAACTGGCTCTTGATCAAGAACTAAATTATTTAAAAGCAGTAGCTACTGATAGTGGTTTTTCACCCAACATTATTAACCAAGCAATTAAAAAATTCTCGTCTCAACACACCAAAAAGCATACTCTTGTTTTAGAAAGATAATACGAATTCTGTTGTCATTCCTTTCTTTCCATCAATTAGCTGTAAAATTGCATGTATTTTGCACAAATTTAACTTTCAGGTCGTTTATTCTCCTATTAATAAAATTCCGAGTTCCATACTTAAGGACCCATTCCGGATATGAATCCTTGGGATGTTTACAGGATTTTTTGCCAGTGTGGTTTAATTTACATTGTGTTAATTAAGAAAGCCTTAAAATTTTGCATTAAAGACCATGAGAAATATGTTAGGAAACACAGAAGTCCTCTGTTGCCCAGTATTGTTTATCTGAAAATCACACTTTCCATTTTGCTGCAGCCAAAATTATTCAAAAAACATCTTCCATTGGTGAATTAGATTTTCTACATGCATTTCACATTAAAAAAGCTCTCTGTTCAAGATAATGACCCTCATTCCAATCCATCTTTGCCTTTAAGTAAATTATGTTTTAGTTTTCTTGTCACATCAATAGATTGCACCATTAGCTGAACTCCTGTCCAGCCATTCTTATGAGTATATCTTATCTCGTTCATTTGCTCTTTGGCAACTGAATTTGATGGTTCAGTAAAACCATCAAAACTAGTCCTGTGAAAGATTGCAAATATAATACTGATTTTTGTTGTCTGACTTCTAAGTTTACTATAGTGTTCGTCTATGTGTGGCCTCTTTATTGAGTTACTCTTTTATTTTAATGCTGGTTCAACATCAAAGCAGATATAGTCACTCAGGAAGAAGAGGTAGTCTGGATTTTGATATTTCTATTGAAATAAAAACCTTTAAGAAATAAAACATGATTAAGTTAATTTTTCAGCAATTACATTCCTTTCAAAGTATTATTTAGACCACAAGGAAATTAATTGCTCTAAAAGATTACAGAATCATTTTCATATTTTAAACCATGCTCTGCTATGAATCACCAGCAGGGTTTGAACCAGTTATGGCACATTTATGCAAGAGACTCATGAAAATCACTTTATTTTCTATGAGTCAACAAAAAGGATAAGTACCATAAAATGTGAATTATTTCAGTGCTGGTGATAAAGAATAATACAACATAAAATAAATCAAGCCCAGTAGAAAATTAGGCTATATAGCTGCAGGAAACTTAAATATCCAAACTGAGCCCATATCATTTTCAAAAGTGCCTGCACCGAGTACTTGAGTCATAAAATGATATCTGAATTACTTAAAGAAAGCCATTCAGTCTGATGAATCTTGTTTTTTGTTGCACACTGTGAATGGCTATTTATGTGTGTGCTGTTTATTTAAGATATTGCTGGTGGGCACCATTAAATACTATGGGATAAAATTATGCTGTTGGAGGGAAATTATTACATACACATTTGTAACATTCCTTAATACATATATGTATAATGCATTAATGTAAAGGTCTGAAAGAAAACTTATGAAAGCTTTACCTGAATTCCACACAGTTTTGAAAATTTCTAGTCACAAAGCTGTGAAATTCGCAACCTTCAAAAAGAAAAATTCATTAACTGCATACTTTTTAATAAAAATTAAGATAAATTAAACTTATCCTATTAAAATTCGTACTTCAAGGTTGCTATCAAAATGGTGTCAAGATTATTGCCAAATTTGTATTTATGTCTCACATACAGTCCTTAGCAGCCACACTGCTAAGATTGCTTTTAATATTGCATAAAAATCCTTCTCTTTCCTCACAGACTTTTGCCACATAAATTCCAAAAGATGGGAAAAAAATGGAATTAAAGATGATGACGAACCATGCTTTGATGCTTTTTATGTCACTTCGCTAAGTACAGCCCCACAGTCTTTCAATATTTAACATATGAACAGTTTCCATATCCACAAAATGGAGTTAATGATTCACACTGAAGTGAGCATGTCTTCCTTTTTCCAATTCTTGGTTTATATGCTCATCAACAGTCTGAATAAATTGTCAGTCCACCTTGTTCATAATCCACAGTTTTTGTCATAACTGTGGTTGCCTATCTATTTGGAATGTGAGCAAGAAAACATTCAGTAGTTTCTCAGTATAACCTCCAAATATATATTACTGTGGAAGAACATGCTAGCATTGTTTTTTGCCAAACGAGCAAACACATCTATTCCCACAATTTTCCCAGGGCTGTATATCTGCTTATTTGATTGATGGATTATATAGAGCAAACATTTCTCTCTCTTGAAACTGTTTCAGTCAATAGTCATATTTTCGGAAAAGTTTAGAAAATACTGATAATTTGGTTACAGTAACAAAACAACTGATGATATATAAAAACGAAATAAACCGATACTTTTTTCCAGTTCAGTTCCGGTTTTCATTCCGACCAAAGTAAACATTTTTTACGGTTTTGGGTTCAGTTCCGGTTCAAAGCCCTGGTTTGTCCCTGGTTTTGCTTCAGTATGACCTTTGCAAGGCTTTGCTTGCTTCAGTATGACTTTTGCAAGCCAGCTGCAAAGGTCATACTGAAGCAAACACGAATTGACATTCAGTTTACGATTTCACTGACTCAGATGCACATTCACCTTTGCTAATTATTTAGGGATGATCTGAGGCCTAAGGAGTAATAAACACAACAATAAGAATGGATGAGATTCAAGTTACAAGGAAGTAGAAATAAAGATGTCTTATTAGATATTTTAATATTAATATTACTACTTATTCTTGCTAAAATGAGGGTTTCTCTCAATGAAATAATACTATGACAGTCACCTGTAGTTTATCCATGACAAGTTTTCATTTGTTATGCCCTTACTATAACTGCGTCCTTGAAAATTAAATTATTCGCATAATTTTTGCCTCAAATTTTGGAAGCTAAAACTAATAAAAAATGGGGAAATAAATATGTGAGGAAATACAATACATTCAAATGCTGTCTACTCAACAGCTCTTATCTTCCTCAGTCATCAATAAATTAAAAATTAACATATATTGGAAAAAAATATATGTTAACACAGGTCCTACTTAAGTTTTCTCATGACAAATGTACTAAAGCAATATTGTCAGTGTAAGCATCAGTCCAGCTTTAAACGTAACAATTATATATGTACATAATAGTGAATACAAGTTTCATTGAAATATCACCCCCCCCAAAAAACCTACTTTGCTCACAGCCGTAATCATCCTACAGAATTACAATATGCATCTTAAAATTAATTCAAAACCAATCTGCTCTCATCTTTTGTATAAGCGGTCAAAAGATAATTTTTGCAGTGACTAAACAAATAACACATTTTTCCAAATTTAAGTATCTTACATTAGAATTGTCACTGGTAGTTTTTGCTGGCATTTAAAAACCAGGGGCTGTAGAAATGAGAATGTCGCCTAAAATCTAGTAAAACCAGGAATTCCTAATCAATTATAATGAACTAAATATTCTAAACAAGATTTTTCCTCATTTGAAAATTCACCACTACCATCGTCAATCTTTATTAACAAATCTTATATTAGTAACAAAGAAGAAAGTCCAGAAAACAAAATGGAAAATATGATACATAAAAATGGGCTAAAGAACATTAATTAATCAAAAATTTCTATTCTGGCACTTCTTATTAACTACTAATATTGTTATCAATCTAATTTCATATGGGTAAAATGTAAAGTTGGAATTGGCAAAAGGAATTAATTTAGAAAAAAACCTTACTATAGATGCTTTTGTAAAAGGGTACTTTGCTTTCATTTAAGAGCATCAAAATTACTTTTAAAGTAATTTTGCTGGTTTTATACAAATTATTTTATGCATTTTTATAACAAAGTCTTTTACTTTCTCGAATGTTTCCCTATAATTTATCCCTTTCTCTTTTTTTCATTGTGTTTTCCCTTAGAATGTTATTTTCTTTGAATACAACTGCACTTAAAAAATATAGTAGTTTTAAATTCAATCATGCTTGATCAAGTTATGACTTTTTTTGTTTAGTTATTAATGTGCATACATCTTAAATTTAATGCAAAAAATTTAAATAGGAAACTCGTAAATAACACATGTAAACTGCAAACATATAAACAGCAAAATTCCTTAATCTGTGCAACCAATGGTATTGAGGTGATCAATTTATCAAAATTCTAACATAATACATTACACGAGCAAATGATATTACAATATCGCTTACAATCATACACAGTAGACAAAGTTTTCACTAAAAGCAAAAATATAAATTAGTAAATTATGCCTTTTAAATTGTTTTATAAAACGCAAAGTATATTCAGTGCAAACAAAATTTCATGCAAATGACAGTAAGCTTGACATTCTTAAGCAATTTTTAGTTTAAGTTAAGATGCAAATTATACCCCTCGAGATCCATTCACTCCAGTTAATGGAAATCCTAAACAAATAACAGAAGACACAGATTCATGAAGTGCAACCTGAGAAATGAAAAGATTTCATAAATAATCTAAACTTATTTACATTCAAAATGAAAATGCATATAAAAGAAAGCAAAAATGATATCAGGAAAACAAATCATTTCTATCAAAAGTTTAGCTTTCTATAGCCATAATACCACATATGAACATTTATCATGGATTTTATCTCCTTGCAAAAATTAATTCATGTTCAAGAATCATTCCAATAATTTTATATAATCTCTTCATAAAATTTAGGACAATTATAAAATTTCTATATCTTTCCAAATTTAACTTCATACTTACCAAATTCCACATTCTATACCTTATCAGAATTTAAAAATACAGTTTTGCCCTATAATACATTCTTAATCAATTTTAATTGCCAAATATGCACATTTTAGATGAAGGACCTTCCATTTATACAGTTTTCACTGAAATTCAACTTTTAATTTTTTTATTTATTTTATTTTTAAATTTTATTTTACAGGCCTAAAAGGCATAATCTCCTTAATCAAACACAACACACTAATTAACCAAATTAAGAAGCAGCAATTTAAGTCTTTGCAAACATTTGCTACAAAATACAACGAAATAATTAAAAATGCTATAAAAATTCAAATTATCTTACTCATTACTAAGAAGTAAATAAAAATTATACATACATCTAAACCATTCAAAAAGCAAGGCCATTTAAATAAATTCTAGAAAAAACTGTATATTTTGCAAATGAAATTCATAACAGCAGTACATTGTTCATAATCTTCTGAAATTAAAAATCCTTTATGATTTGAAAAGGAACTTCTAAATCAGAAATTTCTATCATTTTTCTTACATTGACTCCTTTTAAAAGAATGTTTTTTCATCTAATCCCTTACATTTTTATACAGCATGCAACAAAAACTACTACAAATAATAGTACATAAATAAATAAAAGATAATAACTAAGCTAAGAATACAAACGTTTTGAAGGAAATGATTTATTTAATAGGTTTTATTATTTTCTGTATCACAATTATTTTTAATTTTACAAACATAAACAAGTTTTCAGAAAGAAAATCACAGATTGTATGCACTAAAGTTCTATTTTAATTCATGTCATGGATTTGTTTGATGTACTGATGCAGTCTGTATCTGGCATAAAATTGCTTGCTTAACTTAGTTTTCAAATTACTTTGACCAAAAATGTTCACCTTGCTTCTTGTCTTCTATAGAAATTAGTGATTTGATTAAAGCCTGCTTCTGCTATGTAATAAGAGAGAAAACATTAACAATGTTGATTGGATGGTAACTTTTATTTTTTGAGATCTTGGATAACTTTTATTCCCAAAACTGGCATACCCGTGTGTTTCGAATTAGACTTCATAGTGCACAGTTTTATGATAACAAAAAATAATTATAAACTTTATTAATAAGTTTCTTTGCAATCAATGGGATCTTGATTATGCTGATCAATTGCTGGTCAATTCAACCTATTTCTTGTTTTCTTGTGTAAATTATTGATTTGATTAAAGGCTGCTTCTAATAAGAAGAGGGAAAAGCCCATAATATCAAATAATGTTATTTGGTAATGTCTATTTGAGCAGTTTTCAGTTGGATGATTTTAAATTCCAAAACTTAGCATACAGATGTGTTTTGAATAAGACTGAGGTTGAATATTATTCTCTAATGCAATCAGTTCTTGCATTATGATGTTCTTGCTGTTGTCTTGTCCATGTATCTCATGGAAGAATGGTTGCCAGAGCATCAAGGAGGTTGGGCATCTACTTCCTCCCAATTTTGAGGAACAGCATCCCTATAATTAGCCCTATAACCCTATAACCAGCCATGTCTATAACCATAAGTTAAAGTACCAGATTCCTACTATACATTCAAATATTACACGCATTTACCATAATTTCATATTATTTATCCACAGTAATTCCTTATTTTTTACATCCACTTCATTTTTAGAATAATTTAAAATTCTTATTCAAAATTTTCAACACAAATTCAAAAAAAAAAATTATTTATCTTAATAGCCTTCCCTAAAAATAATTAAAAATCTAACAATTCTTCACTTACTAAGATATTATTATTCAAATTTCTAATAGGATTAAATTATATTTTTTTCATATCGCAGTGGTACATTTTTAATGGTATCCGGACATAATCCCGACAGCCGAAATCCTGACAAGCCAGAATCCCGACAAGCCAAAATCCCGTCAGGGTCAAAATCCCGACAAGCCAAAATCCCGACAGGGTCGAAATCCCGATTGTCCAATATCCCGACAGGGTCAAAATACCGACACGGGCGAAATCCCAATAAGGCCTAATGACCCCTTAACAAACTTCCACAGCTGCAACTAGTATATGCTTTGATGACTAGCAAATCTGAAGAAAATTACAAAAGATTATTCCAAGATTTAATTGATTTCGCTGAAGAAATCAATATTGAACTGAGGCCATCTGGAATCATTAGTGATCTAGAAAAGGCAGCTATAAATGCTCCACGCACTCAAAATGCTGTCGAGGATTGGCACAGAAGATGGGAGACCTTAATTGGACGGCCCATGTTGGCGTTTATAACATCATAGAAGGATTTCAAAAAGAACAGGAGCATGTGGAATACCAAGTCGAATGCATTCTTCGCGGAGAACAACAACCAAAACGTAGGAAGGTAGATGATGACAGAGAAAGGAGAATTATGACTGTTGTGGACGATCGTGATAATCGACCTGTGATGGAATATCTTCGTGCTATCGCTCACAATGTGTCACTGTAAATATGTCGTTTGCATGTGTAAGTGATGTTTTCTTTTTTTTAATAAAAAGAATTTTATAAATCTTCATTTCAAATTTTAACGGTCATTTCAATTTGTTAAAAATTATTTTAAGTAATGACATAATTTTTATGATTTTTTGATTTAAACTTTTAATTAGTAATATGTAATAGTTCGTTAAAAATTGTATTTTATTAAGCTAAATTGAGTGTTTGTATTTGATATTAACTTGTCGGGATTTTGGACAGTCGGGATTTCGACCCTCTCGGGATTCTGACCCTGTCGGGATTATGGCTTGTCAGGATTTTGACCCTGTCGGGATTTCGACCGTGTCGGGACTTTGGGTTGTCGGGATTTTGGCTCTGTTGGGGTTTTGGACAGTCGGGATTATGACCCAGACCCATTTTTAATATCTGATTAATGAAGAAAAATATCAGCTCCCAATGTGGATTCAATTATGCAAAAGCAGAAGTGAAAATAATTCTCTAGCACCTACATCAAGTGTAATTTTAATCCTATAACTGGCGAAAGAAGATCCTAATTTATTCACATAAGAGCCGGATCAAGATATGCAGTTCGATGATCTTCAAAGCACTGGAATGATTTGAAACATTGGCACTCTGAAAACACTCGTCATATTATTATACACAAATGCTGGATCAATTTTGAATGGCTGGCACTAGATTTAATTTTTAAGCACTCACAGAAAATTTATGATTCAATTTTTTTCACATTTTCATATTGCTGCTGAATAATGTTGTACAGTCAAAAGTCTTTAATCTGGACATCCATAATCCGGACTTTAAAGCTACAAACTTTCTGCACATGCGTAAACGCATAATGCATTTACACATGCGCATATGTGTTTACGCATATGCATTTACGCATGTGCATAATACGTTTACACATGCACGTTTAATGTATAATGGACGGTATAAGCTAAGCTAAAATTATCTAATTCAGTTAATGTTGCAGATTGTGTTGTTCCTTAATCTTCGAATTGGATCCGGCTTATTATTTTTTGCAGACAGTTAGAGCAATTTTATAAAAAGTAAGCTTGAACTTTCGATTATGTCAAAAAGAGTTTCCAATTCTGGAGCTGCCAAAGGATCTACAAAGCTAAAGCATGTTTCGATGACCATTAAACAAAAAGCGGAATTGCTGCAAAAAAATGGATAAAGACATGAAGAAAGTGACAGAGAGGTGATTTGTTTCTCTAACCATTCGGAAATCTGTTTATCAATTTCGCGCTGCTCTGCCGGGGGGGGGACGTCACGGTGTGCAATGAACTGGAAGATGATCTCTCAGCACTATCCTCATCTTCAGAGCAGATGTTTTTATTATTCAGCTTATAATTCCTCACTAAATGTAGTGTTTCATCTTGATGTACTCCGATATAATTTAAATCAATTTCCTAATCATTATAAATATCACAAATACACATCAAATAGTCTTCTGGTTGCAATTTTCTAATTTTGACTATGCGTAATGTATGCTTTATGCGTGCGCGCGTTCAAAGAAATGTTTAATAAAGTAAACAAAGAAATATTAAGCTTTTTTTTGTAAATTTTGATACCTTTTAGATCATAATTGCTCTTTATTTCATAAATTAAGGTTTCATATTTTTAATTTTATAATTTCTGCGTGCCATCTTACCAGATTTAAACTGATGATCTATAATCCGGAATCGTCTAAGTTCCGACGAGTCCGGATTAAAGACTTTTAACTGTACTTAATCACCGCATATGCTGGATTAAATTTCTAAGAATGTATTTTGACTTTAAACATTTAAAACTTATAACACTTGTTTGGGCACGATTCAGTGAACATGTAAGATATAATAAAATACTATCACTATATTAAGAAATAATTGACAACCTCAAAATTAACTATTCTAAATTTGGTGTTCTGCCCCCTCTCCCAAATTTGAGATCTTTCCAAAACACTGCTTGAAAAAGGTAACTAAAACTAAAATTAACCAATCACTGCTTAGATTCACATATGCACCTATGCAGTACAAATATTGCTTTGTGAGGAACTAAATTCCTTTTTTTCCAACTTTTGACATGCAAACATCTCCACACTGCTTATGCATTCCTCCTTACGCTGCACCTTTAAAATTGGTCTACATAAAAATTTAGTATCTTCAACAATGATTGAAAAATAATTTGTCTGCCAAAGAGTAGATTTGACACATGTAAAAATGAAGATGGTGATTCTTCAATTCAGTTTTGTCAACGTTTTATTCCTTCCTTTTCCACCCAGCCATGTCTACAGCCAGAAGTTAAATTACCCGATTCTTACTATGCATTAAAATATTACATACATATTTTTAAAGCATCTCACTGAAACTTTACAATTAACCCTTTATTTGGCATGGTTGCTGAGAAGCAACATGTGCTTTCACCATTTACCAAGTCAGGGTTTAAAATAGACTAACTGTCAAAATGAATGCTGGGATTTCAAAGTTTTACTATGCAAAATGTAATTAATATATATATTCAAGAGATTACTGTAAAAGGTTACATACACAAGTTAGGAAAGGTAGTAATTAATTTCATATTTTGGCAATAGATGCTGCCATAAGTGCAATTGCTATAACCATCTGGGATAATGAGTTTATGTGAAGACAAAGAAGTTCATTCTTCAGTTATGCCTTCACAACATGATAATGCAACAGCAGAAAGCACTTGAGTATCAAGTAAGTAAGTCTACTCCATAATCACTGCTTAGCACCATTTCTAAATGAAATACGGATAAATAGTGCTGGATAATGTCATGATTTATTGCTAGTATTCACAATTTCAAGAGGAAGATTGCATATGCAAAGGAAAAGCAACGGGTCATCCTTCAGTGGGAGAAGACACAGTTTAGCATATTCCAGACAGCTGTATTAGAAGTCTTAAAACCTACATAGCTGGATGTAGTATTGCAGAAAACTGTGCACAGAGTTCTTAAGAAGCATTTGTAAATGAAACCGTATGATCTGCAGTTAGGGCAACAAGTGAAACTAAAGAACATGCACTTCAATTATCTTTCTGTGATACACTTTCTGACATCAATAGAGGATGATAAATTTTCTGAAAAGTTAGTGTTCAGTGATTAATCAATGTTTCCCATTTCCAGATTAGTGATTACTTGATACTCAAGCATAGTATAAGAATATGGGCTACTGAACATCCACATGTCACAATGCAACATGAACATGATTTCCTGAAGGTTAATATATTTTTTATATCCTGGAAAAAGATCTATGGACCATTCTTTTTTGCTGAAACCACCATGACAGGAATTGTTTATCTCAATATCTTCTGTAAATACCAGAAAAAATTTTTTTATCAAATTTTGTCTTGGGGGTTCATTAAGGATCCTGTGTGTGTTCCTCCAGGTCACGATGACCATGACTGATGTTAAAGCCTGTATCATAGTTACTGCTGCCAGCATTGCTACCGACATGCTACACAAGGTTTGGCAAGTATTTCATTACAGACTCGATACATGCTGTATAACAAATGAGCATATGTTAAACATTTCAGAGGACTGCATTCCAAACTTTATCATATTACCTCTACATGTATGCATCTATTGAATAAATATATTAATTACATTTTGTATAGCAAAGCTGGTTGCAAGTCAATTTAAAAAAATTCAATTTCTGTAAAAAATAATCAAACACATACAGAAAAAGAATAAATACTGCATAGCTTCCCAACCACACTCCGCTATTGTATGACATATAAACATAAAATAAGGAAAAAATTTAAATGAAGAGATTTGATACAAATAGTTTAGATTACATACATGACATGCAATTAATGCACCAACAGTCCAACCCAATAATATAATAGGTCGATCTGGATACTGATTTTTCATCTGCAAACGAAAACACAGGATTGTAAGAATTTATGCAATAAAAATTATTAATATCACTAAATGACTGCAGTTCCATTAGAAATTTAGCTTATCAAAATATTTATTATGTTTATCTTTACAATCAAAGTAGTAAAAAGCATGAAAATCAACAGAAATAAAGAAGGAATTAAGATATCACAAAATGTTTATTTCATAAAAATTTAAACATTTTAAAGCCTGTGAAAACAAAAAGTATAAGAATAAAGATAAGTAAGTAAAGTACAAGAATAAAAATAAGTAAAAGAACACAAATCTAGCTAGCAAAGGCTGGTAAAACCGTGGCCTTCGAGAAACAAGGCCGTCCAGCTTTATCGTGACGTCACCGTATGGAGTGCGAAGAAACGTTTCTTCTCCACTGAAAGCGAGCGATTCCACTGCGCGCTTATTTATTAGTAAAAGCTAATTTTATGTTATTCCGATGTAAAGTAAACAGGAAATTATTAAATAAGTGATACTATCTTAGCATTTAATTAATATCATGCTTTAAGACTTAAGGTATATGAGCCATTCCCGTTAAATTACGCCCCTTTATAATCAAATAAGATTTTACATGAATTTCATCATTAGTAAAACTAACCTTTTTATCACTTTCATTTAAAAATCAATTTCTGTTTGTGGACAATAAGAATTATAATCCATTGTTCTTGTTTAGGATCAACATTGTGCTTTAAATTAATATTACGAATGGTATTTGGATGTGGAAGTAAAATGTATCCACTTGTCTCAAAAATTTGTACAACTGAGGTGATATATAGAAACATATAGAGGCAAAAATTGTATATCTGGATTATACCTTTTTCGAAGTTTGGAGAAGAATTGAGATTTGTTCAATTATAAATTTAATAATATTTTCTTTTCATTATCAATGCAGTTAATATCAGAGAGTGTATTTAATGCAGCAAGGAGTTTTAATCTTATGACTTCATCTTCATTACTGCTAGCATGTTTAATTTAAGACTTCATTTAGCATATTTATGTTAGTAATTTTCATGGGAAATTTTAATTTACCAATATTTTTCAAAGAAGCATTATTAGAAAATGCTTGTACCAACATTTCATGATTAATCTTTATGGAATATGTATTGAGGTACAGGTTCATCTTGAATATTAAAAATCAAGACATAATCTTCAATTTTCAAAATTTTCCAGAAATCCAAAAGCTGTAGCATATTTTTCTTATTGCATAAATCGTTCAAAACTTAGCAGTTCTCTGTCTTCATCATACTTTTGCTTTTCCTTCATGCTTCTTTGAATAGCGGTAGCAAGATTTTATTCTCTAGCTCTATCTTTTTTGTCACAGGATCTTTACGGATTGCTTTCGAAGTAGTCAAATGATGGGCAATTAATCATAATCGATGATGGCACTCCACCTTTTACTAATCTCGGAACCTTCAAAGCATACTGATATAGTATCTTTCCCAGTTTTTTCATCGAAGCCCTTGCCTCACGTATGATGTCAGCTGGCTGAAAATGGAGCTCGCATACCTACATATCCCGAAAATGAAACAATTGAAACACATTTAAGAAGAATTATTTTTAAACACATCATTATACAGTGAATTCTAATATCATTTCATTCAAACAGCTCTTTAAGGGGACATAGTACTAAACAATATCGTCAAACTATCGAATTTTTTTAGAGGCTTAAACTGCAACTTTTTAAAATACATATAGAAATTCTCAAAACTGCACCTTCAGTAGTTAATTTTGAAAATTTATTTAAATTAAGTAAGATTTCCTTTTTTTATTTTTCCTAATCATGACAACAAACTGTTTCATTAAATATTGTAACAGAAGCATACAGTATTCCAAGCACAATTTTGTTTAGATTTTCAAAGAATACACAAACACACACACACAACAAAAAAAAAAAAAACCGCCATTTAAAGCAAAAATATTAATATAAAAAGCGTAACAGAAAATTTTTTAAAATGAAATTTTGCAAAAATATTTCTATGTTTTATAAGCAACTGGTTTAACGATATTTTTTTATATTTTTTTTAGATATAATGTTAATTACAATTTTCAGAATAACTTGAACATGTGACAAAAAAAAGAGTTGAAAGGGTAATGTGTTCCCTTAAAATATTATAGCACACAATTTGAACTTTAAATTAAAAACATTATTACTTTCACATATCTCTAAAACTTCACTGACAAGTGGTTTTAAAATAAAAGTCGAGATAAAATTAAATATTACAAATGCTATTTTAAGTTCCAGATTTTGTTATATTTTCCCGATTATTGCTTTATATTAAGCACTGAATTTTCTACTGAATATTTAATCTGCAGTATATGAAGTAAAATTTATTATCATTAAATAATACTATAGTATTATGAACTTAATTACTCATTAAAATATTTCCATGCAATTTATGAAGCAACATGCATTTATTAAAAAAATTATAGAATTCACTTTAAGATACAATTGCAGGAAACAAAAGCTTAATATACTGCTTTATTTACATTGGCAATGATTTATTGTATACTTTTATATTTTACACTAGTTATTGTTTACTATTATATTTAAAACACTAGTTTTTCATTGGAAATGATTTTTGGGTTTAAAAACAGACATATTAAAACATATTAAATATTTAATTTACTTAATTTTTCTTTGAATATCATGAAATCATAAGAATAAAAGCTCACCCCACACCCTGCTATTTTTAGTTGGAATGAAGTCCTTCGCTTTATTGCACGGATCCACTTTTCAGATCGGCATCATTAGAAAAGCGAAAATGTGCACTTTAGGTTCAGATTTGTAATTGCCGTTACATCGCGGCACTGAGCACATGTAAGGCATTATATTGTTTCTGGAACCACTCACAAATTGCCAAAAAACCTCAAATTTAATATATCCAGCTGCAGGAAAATCCGGAATGCAGTTAATATCTCAAGATTTTAGGTCAAGATTTCAGTTCAAACCTCTTCTTTCGAAGCATGCGACTGAAAACCTTTGACCCAGCGTTGCCCTCACCCCACGAAGGGGTGCACTCTTCACCCCAAGAAGGGATGCACTCTCTGGAATGACGTCACACGCTCAACGTCACTGAGCTGTAGGGCCTTGTTTCTCGAAGGCCACGGTAAAACACAGTTTAGGGTGATCACATCCAAAATGATGTGCCCCTCACAGAGTTAAGGTATCAAAGACAATTTTGTATTTATACAATTCATGCATATTAATTAAAATAAAAACTCGAAAACAATACCGCCTAGATTTACAATTAGAAAGTGTCTCAAACATATGAGAACAGAAAAAGTGCACTATTTAACTTCTCAAACAAAAGCATATCAAATAGCTATGACAACATGTAAATTGTTTTCAGTTCGTTAATTAAATTCATAGAAATATTATTACTGCCAAACTTTCAGTTAAAAAAGTACATCTAAAATGCTTAACAACTTGATAAATTGCAATGGTAAATATTAAGATGGCATAAAGTGTATAATTTATAAAATACAGCATCTGAAGATAATACCGACTTGCATAATTGCTTATAATCAGGAAATCTATAATTTTATTACTTATTTTAAGAGGCAATTTAATAACAAACATTAAGAAATTACAACTGTCATTTAAAAAAATAGTAAACCAAAAATCCAAACCATGTTTACCTACCTCAGCAACTTTGTTTCTCACAGAAATTACAATCTCATCAATACAATCTTCAATGGTCATGTTTTCCTTATCAAATGAATGAAGTGGAACATTCATAACCTTGCACAAAGAACTTAACTTATTGTGCCACAATTTCAGCCTGGGAGGAAGATGTGCACTAATATGCTGTTGGATGGGAGGCTAACTTGGGCACAATAGAATAACAGGATTGCCAGGCAATTTTTTCTAAAATTAATAAATTAATAAAAATAATAATTTCTAAGTATTAACATCAAAAATTCGTTATTATTTTGACAAAATTTTATAATTCCTATTCCTTTGTGATATTTTATAGTATCATTCATAATCAGATAAACAACACTTATCTATATGCACTAATCATGTTATCAGTTATGCTACCATAACTAATTAAGTAGATTTCAAACATTTGCTTGAATTTAATTCTGAAACTTTATTTGTCAAAAATGCTATACATCTTAACTATTAAGAATTTACAATTTTTCCATGTGCAGTAACATGTCATCATAGCATATCTGTTAATGCTTACTGTGTTCATACTTCACTTCCGTTCTAAATAAAATGCAGAATAAATTATACATAAATAATGAAAGCATTTAAGCTATTAATGCTGCTGTTAGTTTCCTTATTATGAGTCAAAACTCCATGTTTGTTTTGCAAAAAATTACTTTTAGACTTCTCTTAAAAAACATATGATCTTATGAGCTGAATATATCGATACCAGGTTTAATTGTTATGACATATACTTTGAAATATACTTTTGAAAATTTCTGAGGTAATGATCTATAAAAACATTTGACATATTTCAATATACATTCGTTAACATGCACTTTCAATTTAAATACTATTTGGCACACACAGTTATAAGCACGTCATCTGTAACTAAGGTGTGCAGAATGCACTATGAATGTCTGCCTTTAAGAAAACTAGACTTCCCTGATCTATGTGACTTTGTCTTCGGTCACTTGTTAAACAGGATGCAATAAAACTTTCTCTGGATCCTATGAGTGGATTCTGGAAAAGATTCTTTTGTATTCTACGTGAAGAAATTTGTGAACGTAGCAGTCCTGTTCGAGTGATTATTCCATGTATTATATACAATTTGGAAACACCGTCAATTTTCGTATTTCTTGTTAATATGCAAGTCTGAGATGGCCGCAAATTTTAGATTAAAAAAATTGGCCAAGGGTAGCATTGTATATTCAGGTAAATATAGTATTTATATAAAAATAAAAATATAATTACATAAATTAATAAATTCTATAACTGCAAAATTAAATACAATAGAATTCTGATAATTCATGACTTCTTAATCCAAGACTGCCTGCAATCTGCACTCATTTCTAAATGTAAAGAAACAAAATTTTGATTTTCAGAGAATTTAGCGCTGCAAATTTAACAGTAATATGCAAAACTAACCCTTTTGATCAAAATACACTATATTTATAGAACATTTTGATTGAAGAAATATATTTACTTTATTACTGAAGTCATTTAACAATTCCTGTGAGCATGACAGCACACATCATTTTATAATAAACTAATACCCTCATCTCCAAAATTTTATTTATTTTAGTTGCATGCTTACTTTTAGACATCCGGGTGTACATCCTGCTACCTTTTTAAACTGAGTTTATGGGGTTAACAGGTGTAAAGAGTTTGTTTATCAACAACTTTTCATATGCTGGGCTCTAACTTAACCCTTTCAAGATGGTATGCCTTTGTTCAAGATGTTCCCTCGGGACAGATGGGAGTCAAAAGGAATCGTCCAAGAGGATGGGGGTTTTACATTGCTTAGACTAACACTAGGGGGAAAATCGAAAAAATAAGTCCTAACCTCATTATTTTTTCTACTATTTTAGATTACTGCTTAAGCTATCATATAAGTTAAAATTAGCATTTAATAATCTTTCTTCTTTACTTTACATGAAAATGTATATAAAAAATTGCTTACTTTAAGATATAATTCTCGGAAGCGCTATTCAAATTTTCCGAAGTTTTAATTGACAAAACACGTTAATAAACTTTAAAATTAATTTAAATATACAAGAAGAAGTAACAAATCTTTCACAAACAAGTGGAAGGTATGCACTCAATGAGTTCAGTATCTGACAAAATATTCGTATCAGCATCATTAGAAATATCACTCTCTAACTCTTAAAAAAGGAATCATCACTCTCATCCATGTCATTAATTGGTGCATTTATCATGGAAGTATATCCTTTCTCTGATAAATAACACTCGCCATAGAAAAAAAATTAAGTCAAGGCTTTCCGAAATAAAATCGATGTATGTGAAATATAAGCCATAAAAGCAAGACAAAGTGTAACAGAAGTTACACATATTAGTAAAAAAAGAATAAAAAATGGATTCAAAGGAATGTAAGAAATGCAAATGTTTATATCATGTGGGAAATTAAACAGTCGATCTCTGTTTACATTATGTTTTCCCCTCTCTCTCTCTCAACAGCTGACACCAAAGACCAAAGTTAGGCAGAATGTTATCAAACTGAAGGTCAGGATCCTAAAACTATGATCAGCTCAAAAGTAATGGACACGGGACGCCACTTAGTGGTCTTTAACAAATTGTTAAGCTTAAAATGTTAACCGCTTAACAAATTGTTCCGCTTAATTAACATATGCATCACCTACACCTTAAGCGCATTTCCAAGTGATGCATGAGTGGGATGCTCGGCTGTCAGAGACATTCACTGAGAATGCATATATGCGACGCCCATTCGGAAAGGGTTAAATGCACTCATGTGGTTCCTTTATATTTTGTACAATGAACAAACTCCTATTAAATCAATGGCAAATAACTGGTGGATATTTTTTAGTCAATAAATTTTGATTAAATACTTCTTAAGATCTGATTATCTTCTGGTTACATACTTATTTTCAAATAATTCGAAACACAATACAAAAATTAAAAAATGAAAAATATAAGCAAAACACAAAAAAGTGACCTATAATCTGTTCTAAGATCTGTAGCACTATAATTTTAGATAAAATTTTTTATTCATTACAAAATAATATAAATAATGATTTACTGGTTTATGTTGATTAAGAATAGGCATCACAGGATCCCACTTTTTCTTTATCATCTGAGAAATGGCATCACTTGCAGGTAAACCAGAATTTAACTGGAGGAGTTTATCAACTAAACTAGGCACCTATTGAAATATAATTGGAAAGCTTGTAATTATTATTATTTTTTTTTACATTAAAGCATAATAAAGCAAGCAGAAACTGTAGTTATTAAATATAAAGACAACCTACTTTTGTCCTTAATGTTTGTAGCACATCTATATAACTGGAAAGAGTTGGAATATCAGCTTTATCCAAGAGTGTTCTATGAAGCCAAGATAACAAATTCAGATTCTACAGGGATAATAAAACAGAACTTTTATACACATTACACTTAAAGTCATGATTGCCTTGCCTATTATACATAATCCATCTCTATGCAGACAAAACACACTGCAATATTAATTAGGATTCCAGAATTGTTTGAAATTTACTAGATTAATCAAAGACAAGTGAATAAATATTCCATTATTTTAAGAAGTTCAATTAAAAACTCTATTATTGTTAAATCCCTATTATTTTATGCCCAATGTAAACCCTTTACTTTGTGCTTTAGACTTTACAAACTTCTCAAAATATTTTAACTACTATTTAAGCCTTGTGGATTAGGTAAATGAAAACAAATGATAAAAATTACTGACAAGTCTGCAAAATAAAGGAGAAAAAATATGAAGGAAGATACCACTATTCAAGCTTTTATAATAAAGCTTTTATAAGAAACAATTTTCATCATTAAAAAAACTTACGATTTAAATATAGACTGAAACTTATAGTATTCAAAGTAATTCAACTAGTTTTCTAAAATATAACTGAAAAGATTAATGTTCTCCCAAACTCCCGCTTTAAGTAAAAAAAAAAAAAAAAAAATCTAAATTACACTACAGAAATCAATTAATGCATTAGTACATTAATTAGCCTATTACATTCCATAAGTCTTTAAGTAACGTCACTATATCTATCAGAAAACCTCATGTATAACTACAACTATCATGAGAGTTTTTCTAAATCATCATTGATTTTTCACTACTACAAGTGGTCTCACTAAAAGTTAAGAGATTTGGATGATCAGAATCCTTCTAAAGATATTGCTTTTTCAGAAAATCACATACCAAACCTTGTAAACTGAACGCAAAAGAAGAGAACCTTGTAATTTTCAATTAGAAACACACCATTATGGAATAACATGTTAATATTTTTATTTCATATTGTAACAGAGCACTTTAATATGATATTAATACGCTGTAATTACACACTGTAACAGAGTATAATACAAATTTTAAACACTGAAAGAAATTTAAGCATGATGTGCAGTACTCAAACAGAAAGAACATGTTAACTGAACGTAAATAATAATAATAATAATAATAATAATAATAATAATAATAATAAAAAAAAAACTAGGTTAAAAATTAGCCCAATCTGTTAACTGGTATTGTGAGAAATCTGTAAATATCTGGCACCATAAAATATTTTTAACGAAATTAAATTAAAAAACACTTTTTGAATACTTTTTAATATTAAAAAATAATCATTCATAAAAAATATTAATTATTTTATTTTGAGATAAAATATACTTAATATTTTCAATGACAGCAATGAAAGGTACTGAAATATACATAATACTACTCAGATAAATAAAAGTTATTCTATGAAACATTATGTTCTGATTAATGGTGTCTGTACTGTCCTGTTAAAGTTTAAATACACAAAATGTTTTCATTCAAAAAAAGTTGTCTACAGAGGTACATACAGTGGTATGTGATATTAATTTGTTCTGTGACCAAACTCCATAAGCCAATCTATGCCTATCCTGAAACAATTTTTACTTTTTGTATGCATTTAAATATCATTAATCTCCTCCAGTCCCCAGTCACCACTACTATGTGTTTATACAATTTTAAATAAGGAAAAAAAAAAAAAAAAATATACACTGCACTGCCAAAAAAAAGGAAAACTTTATAAAACATAAGATAAACATAAAAGAGAATATAAAGAAATAAACTTATGAAATTTAATTACTATACTCTCATATAAACTATAAGGTATTTTCTCCCTCCTTTCCACGTGCCTTCATGGCACAACTGGAAGCATATTCGAAGTGTATTCAAGAGGTCCAGGGTTCGAGTCCTGGTGAGAGCACTGCACATTTTTCATGTCTCTCGCTTCAAAAAAATACTTAATGAAACACATGATTCATACACATTTCTTTAAATGAAAATTAGGTACTTTTAAGGATTCTTAAGGATCAATAATGAAAATAATCTGTGGAGACCACATGACTGCATTGCATGCCTATTACATTACATACATTTTTTGTTGTACTTCATTTAAACTTATTTCATTTAAGTAAGATTCGATCCTCTAATTCTTTAAGTGGGCACTTATAAAACTACTCAAATATTAGTTTTTATTATCATCAAATATTCATACTTAGGACACTGTAAAAGTCCCTTTATTACACTTTAAATAAATGTAAGTCTTTTTTATCTAATAGTATGTTTTTTAAATTATTATGATGATGAACAAAATAAAAACAAAACGTTCAAAGGTTATTAAGTTTTTAATTTAAATTTATAAATGTTTTTACTGGGTTTAAAAACCTTTCAAGTAATGTGCCTTTTTGACACTGCCAATTGAAACCAAAAAGGGAAGTGTAGAATTAGATATTATAAGAGTCCCAAATACAAAACTTCAACATTCACAACGAACCATTTTTGAGTTACGCGACATAAGGACATCAAGACAGAGCTAGCCAAAATGGATATTTCCGTTGAAATCTGAATACCATATTTTTTTGCGATACAATACTTTCTTTACTTTGTATATGGAAGTAAAAATCAGAAAGGTGCATAACTAGATGGTATAGCAGTCACATAAACAAAATTTTAACATTCTATAAATAACCATTTTTGAGTTATGCAAAAGATTCAAATAAAGCAAAATGCTCTTTCAGCAGTGCCAAATACAGAGAAAAAGAGAAGTTAGATGAAGAACCAAGATGTTATACCAGACCCATCAATAAACTTTCAATGTTCTATCGCTAACAGTTTATGAGTTAAGTGATATAACACACGTACATACAGACGCCAGGAAAAAAATCCATTTTATGATCCATTTTGGAATACAGAATGCTTTATTCTAACCGTACATACAGACGCTGCACAAAAACATAGTCAAAATGGATATTTCTGTTAAAATCTGAAATGTTTTAAGATTACTATACTTCCTTCAAAAGGAAGTAAAAATTAAGGGCCTAAATAAATTAAAAAAAAAAAAAAAAAAGTTTGCAAATGTTGCTATGATGGCTTGTAGAGGAACTGAATACCGTAGTCTTCGGCCTGGGCATTCAAGGGTTGGCATGAATCTTTACAAGTATATGGCATCTTTGAGCTAGAAGCACTTATAATACTATAATGCTGAAAATCCTCTCAAGAGGTTTGGTGGTACATGAAGAGGGGTGGAAGACCATTGGATCTACCCTTTGGGTGTTCTCCATCAAAACTGGAATGGAACTTCCCCTTTCTTGTGAGTGCAATTGAATCACCACATGGGAAGCATTTGCAATGATGAGACAAGTAAATTCCCATTGAGTTTTGGCCATAATAAATAATAATAGTTTATAAATTAAACTTACCCTCTATAACTTTTCAAGCCTTTAAATTACAATTCTGGTTTTTTGAAACACTTATAGTTGTCAAATGTATTTTGAAGTTTTATAAAACCACTATCAAGAAAAAAATTAATTTTCTAAAAGAAGGATTATTAAAATGTCAGTCTAACAAAATTGTGTAGTTTAAAATTTATTATGCAGATTTTAAAAAGAAATTAAAAAAAAAAAAAAAAAAAAAGGAAAGGAAACATATAGTAAAAGACACAAAAAGTTTGTAACATTCCGAAATATTCGATTCTTGAAAATTTTCAAATATTTTAACTTATTTACATCAGTTTAATGGCCTTTCACTGCATTTCTAAGTTCATTTGCATTAAAAAATAAATCAGTGTTTCTATTAAGGCCCGTTTCCACTGCTGCGTATGCGTTTCTCCAATCAGCGAGCGAATTTACTTTGATTGACATCTGCAATCCGGTCGGTGTGCGGTGACGGATGGCATACGGATGGAGTTCAACAATGTTCAACTTCTATCCGTATGTCTGCGGATGCGTTGGGGTCACGTGGTAAAAAAGGAGCAATCAGGTGCAGTCACTAAAAATTAATGGCGGCAGAACTAGCGATGAACGCTCGCTAATAGGGAAAGAATGTTTTGCTAAAAAATACTTATTTCTGAATTAACATTATAGCGAGAAATCTGCGTGCTGAAAAAGACAGCAATCAGCTGAATTTAGTTAAAAAAAGATAAGAAAAATAAGATAGCTGCAACTACAGTACTTGTTCGCAGATAAATCAGGCATTCAAGAAATTCAGTTCACTAAAATCAGCGGCAAAAATTACATTTCCAAGTCCATGAAAGAGCAAAATTTGTCCTGACAATTATTTCCTAGATCTGCATACTCATTTACCTTTAATGAAAATGAATGTCTGACTGTATCAAACTGCTATAGCAAATTAGATATGATTAAAAGATTTGTTATTTTTTTCTTTAGAAACAGGTAAAAACTAAAAAGTTAATTATAAATTAAATTTGTTAGCCTTTTAAATATTCCACTGCATTAAAGAGTATGTTAAATTTGTATTTCCCTTTATAAATATATCTTTTTGGCTAACATATATTTGTAAGCACATGAAATATATTTTTAACAGCCCGTTTAACTTCAATCGGAATGCCACTTTAAAAGATAATGTTTTTTGTAAAAAATGTACTAGAAGCTGAAGAACAAACTCTGGTGAATTTTTCAGACGATATCACACTAAAATAGGACCAAAAAATTTAGTTTTAAGAATTGATTTACTTGATGATGTATATAAGCCAAAATATGCATGCAACACCTGTGTGCTGCTAGCTTAGTGGTAAAGCTGACAGTAATAATGTTTACTTATTGGGTCGTGAGTTCGAATCCCGTAGGTTTTTTGCAGCCTGTCTGCAACTTTCTCAGCTTTTTGTTCCAATTTGATCTATATTCGTGTTTTATAATTTATTTCTATTATTATATGCGTTAAATATATTGTTTTATTTATGCTCTTATTTATTTAAATTTCCCCCCAGCAAAAAAGTTTGAAAATTATATAATACTAATTTAAAGCATACCCTGTATATATATATTTGAATTTAACAAACATTCTCTATTCGCAAAAAGCAAATTAAAAGTTAATTAAATATAGATGAAATAAATGATTAATTATTGCTGCGAACTAATCTACAATATCATTTAAATTCTGAGAGCATATGTAAATTAAGTGCAAAAATGCATAAGTAAATAATGGATAGATTATTAATCCTAAAAAATTTATAAAAATGCATAAATGAATAATAGGATAGATTTAATTCTAAATAAAAATGCATAAGTGAATAATAGGATAAATAAATTTTTGGAATTATATATTTATTTATGGATTTTGATACTTGCACTTGATTTACATATGCTCTCAGAATTTAAATGATATTGTATATTAGTTTGCAGCAATAATTAATCTTTTATTTGTTTGCATTAAATTTCATTTAAATTTAATGAACTTTTAATTTGCTTTTTACGAACAGAAAATGTTTGTTAAATTCAAATTTGATTCCTTGCAGGAATGGCGCAAGAGAATTATTTAAATTTAATTTATTTTGAAACCCTGCAGATATATATATATATATTTGTTTCACTTTTATGTGAATGTATATACATGTGCTCAGACTTTGGGATGTTTACGACTCTAAACTTTCATTCCAATTAACATGAGACAGTATTAATGCCCTAAACATTTTTTAACAAAAAATTACTATAATAATTGCTTTTAAATTCAGTCCTCTCCAGCAGAAGTGAAGGAATTAATTAATTAAATATTTCCATTTTCTTTACCTAATGTGTGT